GTGGCCATGGGAGGAAAGCAGAGAACCTGGAGGAAATGCATGCAGCACAATGGGGGGAGAACATACACACCTGCCCACAGAAATAAACTTGCCCGGGTCTGGGAATCCAACCCAGGCGCTACTTGCTGCCAGGCACGAGTACTAGCACCGAGCCACCCTGCCGCCCCTATGGATGGATCGCGGACCGCTTTAGAGCACGCGTTTGCCCTCGGGAGGTAAGTGAAATAGCGACGACGGCACGTTACGTTTCTATGAGCACAACCGGATGACGTCACAGGGGGCGTGACGTCACAAGATGAAGTCACGTGGAATGATGTCATCAGGAGAGGGAGGGAAGCCACGCGTACCTTGGTCATACCTTTTTCAAAACAACACAAATCGTGCAAAGGTAACTCAGCCTCCGCATTATGCAAAAACTGGAAGTTCCAGAGGAAGTGCATTGTGGTCTTTTGTCTTAGGTCACCATCAAATAAGTTTGAACAAATGTGACTCAGCTGACAGCAGCAGTGATGATGCAGAGGTGGAACTGCAAACCGGTTTTCGTCTGATGGATTCAGTGATGACGTCGTCCCGCTATATTTAAGACCGGAAGCAGGTGGATGGCTTCACGATTCTGGCAAATCGCCCGATGATGCTGGTTGATGTAATTACCAGCGAAACGTCGTACTACTCAAATTGTAAATGTTGCGGATTTACTCTCCAACACACCAGTGGGCTGAAGTAGTAAACGAATTGGCACGTTGTTTACGTGACAAACCTGACTGGCTGTGTCGGGTGGTGGAGGGGTATGACACAACATTTATACTTACGCGATCTAACCCAAAAACCTTTATTACGATTTTCGTCTTCATGAGGACTCATCAGCACTGTATGGTCACCAATGCGCTAAGTTGTAAAGTCTGCCTCTGGACACCATATACATTTGGAGTTCCCGCTTGCACACGATGGGGCCCATGAGCGTGGCTATGGGGCCCGTTAGCTCGGCTCACGCCAACAACAATCGAATCTGTAAATGACGAGACAACCCCATGGCAAGAGAATGATAGTGCAGGCTGGAAAACCAGCAACACGCAAGCACGTGTAAAATCCATGTGTACTTTATGTCATTCAGGAGAGGAAAACGGCAAGGCTAATTATTTTAGCGCTGGATTTTTAGTTTTGGGAAACGCTTTGATAAATTTGGCAAGTTTTCACCAGAATAAGTTCCTGTAAGCAACACAATTGTATACTGTCCTATGGTTTCATTCACCACCACGCACTTCAGAGTAGCGTGGTTGGCTACGTACGGCGCGAAAGAGGTTCATCATACACACATACACAGAGAGTTGTCATACCACCCCCCTCCCCCATTCAGAGACAGAGCTATTTACCCTTTATATAGATCCCCCTATAGACAGTTCGACTGACGGGGAAGTGCTGCTCGTGAGAACGTATTAAGGCCGATATAGCACTCAAAAAAGTACTGTGTTCAGCTGCCTTCGTCTCCCTAGTACTGTATGTATGTTGAACTTCTTTCGCACCGTACTTAGCCAATTGACGTATGGCCAAGTTGACCAAGGTGAGGCCTAGGACCAGTTCAGATATTCACCACTGGAAGTGAACTCGGGTCACAAACGTCTATTATTATTAAGTCAATGTAACGTCCTGCTCAAATGAGCACTGAGGTAGTAGTGGTAGTCATCTCCTGTCTTGCAGCCCTTAGCCAGCCATGGAAATAACAAATGCCTATGGGGAGGGCTTCACAGAATAACCACTGCCGACGTGCCCACAAAATGGTATATTTATTTTATGCACCCCAAAATGGATGATGGGCTGAGTCAACGCCAAACGGGAGTTGAACTTACGTCGATTGTGAGCTGCTCACTCTGCCGATGAGCCACCTGGCCGGTTTGCATATAGACAGGAAATGCAATGGATAAATTCAATGGAAAGCCTCCCCCCCCCCCCCCATTTTGACTCACACTTACAGGTGCTGTAGTGGCTATATAATACTGCATAGATTATGGATGACACACTCGCACACATCAAACCTCTCCGCTTTCATAGAGCGTAGCCTCAAATCCCCGTCACGCTTGCTGGTCAGCAACTCAAAGCGGCCGAGCAACAACCCTGGCCACATTCAGACAAATTATTTGGTGACGCCGTCCCTGCTGCTGCTGCTGCGTTGCACAAGCACAATTATGAATAACAAAAAAATACCCACCTCAAAACATTACGTCAATAATATAGAGTAATAGGCGACGTTTCGGACAATGGTCCTTCTTCATAGCACACAGAGAGACGAGAGAGGGGGTGTAATAATAAGCGCTGGAGACTGTAGTTTGCACCATGGGGACTGATGAAAATTGTATTTTAAAAACCTGTTTTCTGACGCTCGGTTTTTAAATTGGAATATAATGCAATTTAGAACGCGGGCAATATTTCAAACAAATCACCGTGAATCCAATGAATAGTTACTTTCCTAATTCTGCAGTCACTATTAAAGTAACGCGTATGTACATTTTACTTTTTTCGCACCGTACGTAGCCATGTAGCCAACGGAATGGAGGGACGCACGATGACCTCATGGGAGACTCAGCCGAACGCCCTCCTTGCGGCTCCTTCTCGCCGCCCCGTAAACTCTGCACCGCGTTGCATCACCACATGGCTAATGGCCCTCATCTCCCACACACACCGCATGGCCAATGGTCCTCATCTCCCACGTGCACCACGTGGCCAATGGCCCTCATCTCCCACGTGCACCACGTGGTCAATGACCCTCACCTCCCACACACACCGCATGGCCAATGGTCCTCATCTCCCACGTGCACCACGTGGCCAATGGCCCTCATCTCCCACGTGCACCACGTGGTCAATGGCCCTCACCTCCCACGCACGCGCACACACACACGTGGGAGATGTCATCATTACTGATGGTGCCACCGGCGCGACTGCAGAGTTGAACAACGGGGCCACGTGGTTCCCAATTTGCTCGCTGCCCACCCCCGGCGTGAGCAATGAACGGCGGGCGACACGGCAGCGATTGATTAATCAGCTCGAACAGTCGAGTGGCTGGACGAGCCACAGACAACGAGAGGCAGACAGAGAGAGAGGGGAGAGGGAGGGGAGAGAGAGGGAGGGAGGGGAGAGGGAGGGAGGGGAGAGAGAGGGAGGGGAGAGAGAGGGAGGGAGGAGGGAGATGCTGGCTGTTGAGACGCATGCACCGCCGGGGGATATTGCGCAGCGCAGCGCAGCACAGAAACGCCAGAAGGGGGGGGGGGGTGACGTCAACTCACAGGAGCCACGTCAAGGGCAGCAGCAGCAGCATCAGCAGCATCATTCCCTCCGGAGCCGCCGAGAGCCCCCCGATCATCGCCACCACGCACGAACGCTCCGCCACCACCACCACGCACCACGCACCGCACACACCAACCGCGTTTCATATTAATGGCGATGTAGCCCTTTGCTCGCGTGGCGGATAGAGCCGTGGATGCGGCGGTTTAGCGCACTGCACCACCAAAACCCGCACGAACCCACCCGAAGTTGGACTCCTGGCCACGGCTTCACTGAACAACGAGAGCGGCGAGTGATGTTGTCCGCACGGGGCTGTGGACCGAATCCCCCCCCACCCCCACCACCCAACGCCGCTACTCGCCCACCCACGCCCGAATCGTGGTCGATGCGCAGTGACCGGCGTGGTGAAGTATGGCGAAACTCAAAACGACCCTCCGTGCGCGGACCCCACCGCGGCGCGCGAAGAGAGAGGCCCCCTTCATCCAGCAGTGGATTGACAAAGGGCCACAACGACGACGACGATGATGATGATGATTAACCCCCCGAAGACTCATGTCGCTCACGCGAAAATGCTACCACCTGCGAGCCAGCTGTTAATCGCACACCGCAATGCCGTCACGGGTCCATTGCCACACAGGTTACACCGCTGGTAGTAGTTAGGTAGGTAGTTAATCATGTACAGAGAGCACCGTTGCGGTGTTTTTGTTGTACCTAGGGGGCACCGTCATCTACGTGTGTGTCACCCCCCGCAGTGGTCCTGCTCACAGCCGAGTTAGAGCCGCTCGATATTGCTGCTAGAATGCGTTACAGGAGAGCTCCCGTGCACAGCGAGGTGCTGCTGCTCCTGCTCCTATACAACGGCACGATTTAGGGGTGGACAAAACAAAATGCAAAGACTGCTGGACAAACGTAAGAAGGGCATGTCTAACGATCGTGACTGAACAACCACCCGCTCATTGCGCGAATCTGATGAATTATTATAAGTGTTGTTGTCGTATTCACTGCTGCGTTGAGTGCCCCGGGGCCTACGTGAGTGAATCCACTGAATGACATCTGTATTGCTTTTTTTGTATCGTATTCACTACGTTGGCCATAATCCCATGCGGAATTGCATCCGGATGCCGCGTGTTGCGCTCCATCCGCACCTGTGTTGGGTTGTTGATCGTGGTTATCTCACGCCAATTCACGCCGGCGTGAACACCGCACGATAGAACGCGAGACAGACGCAAACCGCTGCCACAATGTACACGTGAGATGTGTTCGAAACTCGGGAGCCCCCCGCTACCACAGCGCGTGCGTGCGTGATACACTCAAGCCGGTGAAAAAATAATGAAATAAAACTTACATCTGTCTGCTCACATGGTCTATGCCGCTGTCTGCATTTCGAGCAGCGTAAGGTCGCGTACGCGTTAAATATATATAAGGTCGGATCGCTGCATTGCGTATGAATTTAAAGCGAGAGACGAAATTATTGTGCACGGTTAAAAACGAAATATCCCTTCGGCTCGGGTGAATTCACAGCAAACAACACGCGGACAGTAACACTACAACAACAACATTCAAAAGCACAACAGCGCAGTCCTAAACCCTGCCCAGTGTAAACACAACGAATGAAGAAGACCCCCACACACACACACATCCCCCGTAGCAGACTTTATCCAATCCCTTGCAGCCCTGTAAGCGCAAAGCCGGTATCGTTATAAGCGCGGGTTGTTCGTGGCACGTACCTTCTTCACTTCACGGTGAAGAGTGTGTGGAGGAGGAGGAGGAAGGGGGAGCCTGCTGCATCTCCTACTTCACAAACGCGCGCACGGTGCTCCTGACGGTGGTGGTATCGGCCGTAGCAGCAGCAGCAGCAACAACAACACTGGCGTAGCGCGCATCAGCTGATGGAACTCGCAGCCGTGCTGGGAGGGCGGCGCCCTTGACCCGTTCGGGGGCGGGGCCTCGCTTATAGTGGGCGGGGACTCATGTTAAATGCAGGGGACGAGGCTTGACTGGGATGGGGCGGGGGCTTGCCGATTGTGGGCGGGGATTGATTGGGATGGGGCGGGGCTTGGCGACTTGTGGGCGGTTTTTATGTATATAGAGGGCGGGGCTTGGGGTAACGAGGTGGGGCTTATATTCTCGGTTCTTTCGGTAAAGTCACCGAAAGAACCACGACTATGAATCCCTGCAGTCACGACAGCTTTAAATCAAAATTTAGAGGTGGGGCTTGTTTAAGCACTGGGCGGGGGCGTGTTACGTAGGGGCGGAGCTTGGTTATAAGGGAGGGGCTTGAGTAAAGTAGGGCGGGGCTTGATTAGCATAAGGGTGAGGCAAAAATATAAACGTGGGTGGCACTTCTTTAAGCACGGGGCGGAGTTCATATAATATTATTCTGTTTGTGTTACCCATTAAAATTTAACTGAGTCTCAAAACTCCTTTTCAGATGGGTCCTGGCCAGTTGCCTTGAATAGGGAGGCGATGTTGCTGCTGCTGTGTGTAATTCCAATTGAGTCATTTTAAGGTATATTTTTTTGCATTGGGCTGTTTGGCCAATGCCAGTTAGATTGTATTGGGTTTTTTTTGTTTCTATGGGAGGAAGCAGGAAGCACTTGGATGGAAATACCATGCAGAACAGAAGGAAGATAACATACAAACTCTACACAGAAAGACCGCCGAGTCGGGAATCGAACCAAGACGCTGGCTGCTGTAAGACACACAAGTGCTTATACCACGGCACTGCCCTACCACCTATGCAATGGCGTGGAGGCTCTATCAAATACAAGTGGATGCCACGGTGGCGAGATGTTAATTACCTCGCCTGGTATGCAGGAAGTCGTGGGTTCGATCCCGACCCTGAAGCCTGCTGTATATTGGCAGTTTGCGGTGTTTTTCTCACCGTGGCCGCGTGGATTTTTCTCTGGGTCCTCCGGTTTTTTACCCTCCACATTTAGAAACATGCATTGAGAGCGTTTGACTGCAGTAAATTTCCACATATTGTAAGCCACTTCAGGTCGCTTCTGGAAAAGAGCTACATAGCTCAGTGGGCCTTACATGGTCAAATAAATAAATAAAAGCGCGGCAGGACTTACATAACATAGACTGGCTTCATATTCTTGTTTCTTTCGGTAAAGTCACGTAGATAGAAAATGCAAATAAAATAAATATCAAGATAATAAATAAATACATATTTCCCCCTTTTTTTCGTGACTTTACCGAAAGAACCAAGAATATGAATTCCTGCAGTCACGAAAGTTTTAAGTCAAAATAGACTGGCATGCCTCACAGCGTGGGAATGGTCAAATATGGGGATTTTTTTTTTACATAGTGCGGGGTTTTTAAAATATTGCAGCAGAGCTTGCCCATTCTGAAATGGGACAGGGCCGCTTCGATATGGAGAGAGGCGCGCACCCAATGCTGGGATAGAGACTTGGAATCTGAAGTCGTCACTGTGTACTGGTGAACGACTTAATGTCTTAACCCAGTGTGCTTTCTTGCAAGGCCCGCGCGGGCCACTGGCGGCCCCTGGCGATCTTTAGTGCGGCCCCTGACGTGCGCCCCCCCCCCCCGCCCCCAACAATACACAAAATGTGTAAACACCCCATGTAGGCGGTGTGGTGGCCCCTTACACTCAGGTATTATCGGCGCAAATTAGTGAAAAACACTGGCTTCACCCGAGACTGGTCCGGGGAAGCATGATAAGAAGACTTAGCTACCTGCAGGATATTTTGGACGTGTGTCTGTCTTTTCTTTGGCTGGCCCTGCTAACCAGATTCTCTCTGCTAGGGCACATGGTGGCTAGGATAATTACTGCTGAGTGAGGCCAGGGCTCATTTCAGAAAGGACTGTCCGAGGCTGATCGCCAGAAAAGACCCCCCCCCCCTTCTCTCTATTGGCGGGGAAGGGTTTTCACGGGGGTTGGTGGGCCCTGGGAAATATATCATGATAATTTAATCCAGGTGTAAACTTACCAAACGTCACAGTTTAGTTGCGACAGCCGCAGTGATTTCAGAAAGTATTTTTCTGATTTCCCGAAAGATTTGTTAAACTATGGAATGCGTCCAGGTTTAAAATGCTTTGACTTAATGTATGACTCAGATATTGGTACGTGGTGGGCCTACCTGAGGCGTGGGCGGATCTGGAGAGCAGAAGGCAGGGCCTTTGAGCAAATAGGCAGAGCCACAGTCAGATAGTGCCACTCACTCTCACTGTGCACGCAGGGCTAGTGACCGAGTGGGCGTGGCTATGTAAAAGTGGGCGTGACTGACGGAAGAAGTGGGGCTGCCAGCTCACCCACGTGTCTCGGTTGAGCCTCCCAGCAAATGTGTGGTTGAGGGCGAGGGATGGGGAAGGGAGCTCGCTTGGCGGATTCTGCCACGAGGAACTCCTTGGGTTGGCATCGCAGAGCGAAGGTTGCTAGGCGATGTCCTCACACGTTCCTCTCACGCTTGAGGGACTTGGGCGCACTGTCTGCCCACACGCAACGGGCCTTTACAATGCAGAGCAGAGGCTGGCAACAGAGATATTGCCTGATACGGGGCAGAGATTGCCAAGTGAATATTGGTACGTAGCCCAAAACATTGGCATACGATGTTTTCTACTCGCACCATGATAGTGACGGTGTGGGGAGGACCTTCATCCAGCTGTGGATAAGTGATGGCTGCTGATATATTTTCTTCATGAGACAGTTCATTATTAAGGTGTTGAGTTTTTTTTTTACATTTTACGTGCATACTGCTGCGAGTGCAGTCCCGTAATTTCCATCTTAACGTTCCAGTTTTCGAGACTGTTAATGCATAATAATGACTCTGTTATGAATGCACAAACAAACCTAGGACATACAGTACCAGGGCGTTCTGCCATTATTGATGTTAATATTATCAGATACTCCTTAGTGCCGTGTCGTGTGAGTTATTTGCTGAAGCTTCTCTGAATTATTGTGCGTGTTTTACAAAGACCACCTAATGCTTCAATTTGACATAAATGTGGCACGTACACAGGCCACCAGACCGGGGCAGACTTTGATAAAAATTCACATTTGCTCTTTCATGACAATGTGCATATTAAATATTCATAGACATCTCAAACAGCTCTGCTGCAGCCCAGAGGCAATATTCTGCGAGCGTGACACTTAAGGCGACGAGCATGCGGGGTATAAAAAGGGGTCGCAACATTGTACGTAAATAAATATGTTACAATGTCATTTGAAAAAAATGCATTACACTGAATTTCCCCTGACTTAATACGACTTTCAAGTGCGCTCTTCTGACGCATATTAGCAACCGTGCCATATCTGCCGCTAGTGGAAGTCGGTCAATTACAACCGATATTATATGCACACAGTATGGAAGACCGAGTCTTCAACATGGGTGGAGGAATCAACGATTGAAGTTCAGTGGAATAGTAGCTGTGGCAGTAGCGATAGTAGAGTGATTAGGAGGCGACGGAGCATTTACATAAGGCCCTCATTTTCTTCGCCTCGTCCAATAACGCAAGCTGCGATACCATTGCCCGTTCAGGCCAAATCGGTGACTGTACTGATGATTCAACTGGACATCTGTGAGAAAGAGCTTTATAGCTCATCGGATTTCTCCAATATCAATACGTATTCTGATTGTAATTGATATTGAATAAACTGATCTACAGTTGTCACTGTCTCGCTGCTCTCGTTGATCGTCACATTTGCTCAACGTATTGACTTTAGACAATGCAGTTCTTCAGGAACTGGTGGTTTTGCATTTTAGCAAGGCTGAGACCCTCTATTTGGTGTTCGTCTGGGTGGTGATCACTGTCTTCTTAATTTGAAAATGAATGTGTTGTTCAAACTGTAACGCAACAAGGCATCATGGGAGCAACGCACAGCCCCCGACATTCCCTCTCGGAGCAACTGTTCGTCAAGTCTATTTGCTTAAGCAGGTGAGAACTCAAGAGGGCAGGGTAGCTTCATTTGCAAGAGATACCGGTTGCTACAACTAAGTGTGCAATACTTGTTCATTATCAGCCAAACAAACACGCTCCGCTTTTCATCGCTATTGATTTTTCTTAAAGTGGTCTTAAATTATGTATAATGTTTTTTTATGGCAAGCTTTTTTTTAAAAAGAGGTTATTTTTACAATCCATATGAAACCCAATTCAAGCTTTTCACGGTGAAATGAACAACTCAAGATTGTGGGTCGGATTTGTGGTGGGGGGGGGGGGTCTACAAGAGATTGATTTTAATCAAAATCAGGTTGGTGGAGTGAAAGCACTTGACCTCATTACTTTTGGGTCTTTGAAGAAACCTGTCAATCCCAGCTGTTCCAATTCACTCTTACATTGACAAAGGTCCTTGCAAGAGTGAGCTTGCAAGGAAGGACCTTTTGGCGTTCTCTGGTCTGACACTGGTGAGACTAGGTCCATAAAGAGAGCTGTCACTGGTGTAGGCCAATCCGTTTCAAAGATGCATATATAATTATCAGAGCATGTTTGTTTGCATGTTCACCACAATTACGTGTGGTTAATGCAGACTTGGTTCCTTGCAAAGTGTATCTATTTGATGTTCGAACATCTGAAGACCTGTTTTATTGCCAGAAAGGGTAAAACCTATTCTTATTTTTCATATTTTGAAACTGGTCAAAAAGGTCCCATGATAAGAGTGAGCTGTTGTGAGACAACACAGTGGAACTATTAGCGTTCTCCAAACCCACAATTTGTCCTACTGGCGTTCTTATAACATTATACTGCTATTAAACATAATCTCTGCCTCGAGTATTCTGGACGGCTACTGCCTGGACTCTTCTCTACCCCAACTGTAACTCAATTGGCAGTGGCTGCGGCCCGTTGCCACCAAAACTAGCTGCATAACTGGCTACACGAGAAATTTGAGGATACTTCAGCACGCTGGTCATTGCGGGTTGGAGAAGATTGGGTGTGGGAGTAGGACCTGTTCAGATATCACTGGGATGCCATGGC